GTCTTAGTCCTATCATTATGATCAATTGTGAACAGAAATTGATCACTGGGACTAGTGAGCTGGCTTTGGTACATGCCACCTTGATGGGATTGAATTCGAATCCCCTGGTATGTTTCTAACTCTACCGTTTGAGGTAAGTCAGCTTGAGCATGTCCCAAATTGCACATCTCTTCCCTCTCTTATTCCCACTCGTACATTTAACAGTGATCACTTTTCAGTTAAGTTTCAGCACTTAAGAAGAATTGTGTATTGATTACAGTATTCAACCAAAAGTATTAAGTAGAACAAACAAAAAAAAAATACTAAGAGGGATAACATATCAAGTTGCTCATCAACAGTCAGGGTGAGGGCTGATCAAGTCACCGTTTCTCATAGTGTTCATTTCACTTTAACAGGTTTCCTTTTTGGTGCTCAGTTAGTTGTCACCTATCAAGGAGAACAAGTGGTATTTGTCCCTTTGGGATTGGCTTATTTCACTCAGCATAATGTTTTCCAAATTCCTAACAGGGATCACCAGAAAAATGGGATATTTTAAAATACAACAAAAGGAAAAAAAATCTCAGAATTTAAAACAGCCCTTTAAATTGCAAATTTTTTTTAAAAAAAGATTTGTTTATATTTAAAGGCAGAGTTACAAAGGGAGGGAGGAAGGGAGGGAGAGAGAGAGCCAGAGAGACAGAGGGAGAGACCGACCTGCCATCTGCTGATTCACTCTCCAATAGCTGCAAAGACTGGAGCTGGGCCAGGCCAAAGCCAGGTGCCTTTATATCTCTTGTTTTGATAAGGATTCAAGAAAATTAATCATGAGGCAGCACTGGGTTTGAAATTACTGGAAAGAGTTAATTTAGTAAAGGCAGTTGGTGATTAATATTGATCTAAATGGTGTTAAGGGAGCCTCATAACTTCCATATTACTTTCCAAATTGTATTGTGCAATCCAGTATTAACTGACTTGCATTTTCAAGTTTATGTATTCATTTTCATTTAATTTCAAAGGCTATGAGACATAAAGAAAAAGAGACAAGGAAAAAGATCCCTCATCTACTTGTTCACTCCCCAAACTGCCACAACAGCTGGGGCTGGGCCAGCACAAAGCCAGGAGTCGGAAATTCAACCCAGATTTCTCACTTGGATGGCAAGGACTCAAGTGCTAGAGCCATCATCTGCTGCCTCCCAGGTTGTGTATACAGGTATCCGGAATCAGGAGCAGAGCTGGAACTCAAACCCAGGCACTCTGATATAGGATGTGGGAGTCCGGAGCAGCTTCTTACCTGCTATGCCAAACACTTGCTCCTCTGTGCCTTTCTTGAGAATCAGGAGGCACAGGTGGAAGAACATCTGCAGTTGTTTCTGGGGGAACAACTTAACAAAAGTACTAGTTATGCACCAAGGACCCCTAAGTAAATAAGACTGCTCTCTGTATTCAAGGAGCTCAAAGGGAAAATGAACACACAGTAAAGTAAATCAAGGTCAATGAGATAAGAGATGCAATAGACATATGTTCAAGATTTAAAACAGGACAGAGGCAGTGTGGTGGGGTCTTACCCGGGTGTGGGATGAGCCCTGGCCCTTTGTCTACAGCATGGAGAGATGATACAGTGACCCACCTCTGAAGAGGATGCAGCTTCCCAGTAGTCACTCACTTTCTTTGCCTGAAGAAGCCTTTCTAGACCATTTGGGAGCCTTGATACAAAGAGTGTTTCCAAACTTGGATCTCAAAATAGCTAGCATTCTTTCTTGACTTGAATTATGCTTGAGGAATAATCTCCCTTCTCCCAGCAGGACTGGACTTCAGTGGGCCTAAAAACTGATTTATGCAAGCAGTTCGCCTGATCTGATGCAGACTTGGTTATAAACTTTCCATTTTAGGAGTGGAAGTCTCTGACCAGACCCTTGTTGCAAATAAGGGTTAACTTATAACTTTGTAAATCAAGCAGAAGTGTTCAGGTGACCTGCTGCCATGACAATGAAGAGGCCAGGCTAGAACACCATAGCTCCAACACCTCGCTGGAGGCAGTATCTTTTCTGCATCATTGGTTCACTTCCTCTGTGCTTCAGTTGTGAAAATGTGGCCCCAGTATTACCTGTTGACATCGGCTTTTAATTATAGTAACAGTTCCACTTGGAAACACACTTGTGATTTACTTTTCATAGTGTGATCAATCCATAGATTCAATGAAACCATCATAGTCATTCGTAATAGAGAATACTGCATAGGAGAATGTATCTGTTAAGGTACTCTGGTGCTGTTTTAATTCTTTGGTGTAATTTTTAAAGATTATTTATTTGAGAGGTAGAGTTATAGAGAGATGGAAAGACAGAGATAAAGTTCTTCCACCCTCTGGTTCACTCCCAAAATGATTGCAATGGCTGCAGCTGAACCCATCCAAAGGCAGGAGCTAGGAACTTCTGGGTCTCCGGTGCAGGGGTGCAGGGGCCCAAGCACTTGGGCCACCTTCTGCTGCTTTCCTAGGCAGCTGGATCAGAAGAGGAGTAGCCAAGACACAAACCAGCGCCCATAAGGGATTCCAGTGCCTCTGGCGGAGGCTTAGCCTACTACACCACAGAGCTGGCCCTTTCTTTGATATAATTTTTATGTCACTTAGTTTGTGAAGCTTTCTAAATGTTTAGCACAGACATACATACTTTTAAATTTCATTTAAAAAACACTCATTTCAAACTAATAGCATAGTTATTGCATAAGAGGAAACTAAGCTTTTGTTCATAAATTTCACAATATTCCCTCCTTCTGAAAATGTACTTTCTTCCAATACGGTCTCCTAAATGGATGTTTTCCTTCATGTGATTATTAGGAACCACAAATAACATAAAATGCACTGACAGTTGCTTATTAACGCCAAGAAACTACTCTGAAAGTCGTAAGCCTGTATTCTTGCGGAGCGTGTAACAGGTGTTCCTCTCCCTGTGTCCTTTGTATACACATTCATTCTGTATTCAAATCAGAGAAGCAAAGGCAGGGTAGGGTCTGTTGCCTCACTACTGATTTCCCTAGCAAATAAGCCAGCAGCTGCCAGTCCAAGAACCACGTTCTCACCAAGGACAAGGCGCTGCGTGCATGGGACAGGATGCTTTCATGGAGCCCTTCAGCGGCAAGGTTGGCAGCGTTCAGTGCAAAATATTCCTCCTTCTCTTAGGTAAGGCCCTGCATGAATCATGTTGTAGCCATTTGGGTTTTCTTAATTATTACTATTATTGTGGGTAAATGGTAAATATTTGCTATAGGCTGTAGATTCGCCCAGATAACTAAAGAGCAGGTCAGAACCTTTTAACAATAACACACTGTTCGAGCAAAGAAGCAGGAACATTTAGGAGAAATGAGGCTCAATAAACAGACCATTATGGTTTTCTTAGAACAACAGTTACTGCCACTAGCACTCGTGAAGAAAGTTAAGATATTCTAGAATTATAATGAATTTCTTCTTTTTACTGAGGTTACACGGAGGCTGAACAGGCTTTAATGTGTTTATTTTGACAAATATTTTAATAGGCCATGAAATTCTGACTGCTTGGAATGATATTCAATATGATTCATGGAAGTTGCTTATTTTAATAAACTTTTAATTAAAGATACTGTGGCCAACCCTTGATTCTGCTTTATTCTAAGTTACCTTTCTTTTGGAATATAGACAAAGGTGACAAAAATTCATATGCAAAGGGAAGACTGTGTTTAAAAACATTATTTATCCAAAATGCCCTTCACTTTTCTTTTTGCCCAATGCTTATTCCTATTAATTTTTTCTATACGTTTATATTCTCTTTCATTCTCCTCTTTATCCTTAGGGTTGATAGGAGTCTCTCCACTATTCCTACTTTTTTCCATGTCAACCCTATTTTCGCCAGCTGTTCTCTTTTCCATTATTCCTATTCATCAGCTTTAAAAGACAAGTAAGTTTCTTATTTCGCTCATAGTCCACAGACAGGAATTCATACAACATTTTATTCTTTAAAATTTAAGAATAATTTAGCAATATAAGCAGTTGAAGTTCTAGACTTTTTTCAGTTACTTAGAGCCTTACTTTCACTGGCATATCTTGTTAGTTTTCATTCTAGGTATGACTGTTATTCAGATTTAGACCTAATGTTGTACATATCCCATATATTTGAAACAGTTGGTAAATTTTTGAAAGTTTTTTGAGTTACATCTAATTGTGATTGCTCAAGTTACTACAGTGATCATGTTATTATAGCTGATTTTTATCTTTTCAAAATATTTGCAATATTAAACAATTACCATAACTGGCAGTCTTTGGCATTGTTCTTGGCTTTGAGAGTATCCACTGTCAGTGCCCCAATTATTTTTAATTTTAAAACCATAAGGCTCTTATAATTTCATAAGTGATCGCTTTGTAGTTGGTCTTAAAAAGAACAGAGTCAATTCAGTTGAGGAACTTGACAAAAATAAAATGTAGAAACAACATGTTCATAAATAGTTGAAGTGGTTATTATATCTTAAGACTTTCTTTCTTTTGCAAATTTACTTTTCTCCATAGGTACAGTTTTGGAAAGACCATAGGTTAGGTGTGAACTTTATTTTTAGGAATATTGCATTTCTGTCTGTTTCTTCTTTTTAAAATAATCATTAAAAGCTGAGGCCCAAAAATTGGCTTTGTACAATATATTCAAAATGCATCTTCATAAAGTCTGTTTTCTATAAAGATGCAAGAGTTTGTTTTCAGTCAACAGTAATTGTATTATGCTTACTAACACCACGCATGATAACAGGGAAGTTAATGCCAGCCATTCTGAGCTACAGCAGAGGTCACTCTGTGACGTCTGATGTTTATATTCAATACAGTGAACTGGGCTAGGGAGTCCTTGTTGCTGGAATGTAGATCAGCTTTACTGTATGACTTCAAGTATGGCTTCACTGCGTACTCTGTCAGAAGACTATACTTACACAGGTCAAGAGAGTCTCTAAAGAGATTATTGCTATAACTTTGTTTTCAGATTATAAATGATATTATCAATGATTCTTCAGATCAGTGAAATATCTTACATGCAAAAAGCCCGTTTTTTCTTTTTAGCAGTAGTGACTCCAATAAAGTTGAGTTTCTGAGTCCAAATATTTGGAATATTAAAGGAAAATTAGAATTTCATAAATTTTTACATAATTTATTTTCTAGAAATTTATTTGTTCACAAAGGAGATAACTTAATAAAATCAAAAGTCCTAGTCTTTTAGGTCTTCTCATGGAACTAGGAAAGAGCACTTGACAATTTCTCAGAATAAAGCTAATTTTTCTAAATTTAGTAAACTACTGGATTTGACATCCTGAATTAATCATATCTCTAGGATGAAACATATAAATGACAAAAAAATGTGTTCCTGAAATGTAAAGGAAGCTTCCATCTATCTATTTATTCACAAATTTTACTATAAGTGTGGATTGAATCATATCGGTAGGTTCATGGCCTCCCTGAAGAATAAAAAGACTTTTGGCAACAAAGCTAAGATATTGATTGTATAAAGAAAAATTCATTCCTTGATGACATCCTTATAACTTATTACCTATAATTTATCTATTAAAAATGGGATAGACAATTTCTAAGCAGATAGCTATTATAATAGCATGTTCATTTAAGAGTACACATATTAGAAAAAATTCATTTGACATGGAAGTAATGAATATATTCAGAGATATTAATGGCAATAAAAAGGTATTATTACATCAGACAGTCTCTAAATTGTAAATACCGTATAAAATGTTATTGTCTACTAAAGTGGTTTCATTTTCTCTGGGACTCAACATATTATATTTAACAATTTATTAAATAAGGCTTTCTTCCTATAGCTTTAGCTATAGACTCTCTAATCAATCTTTTCATACATTATATTCAACACCCTGACTCAAATCCAAAAGTCAGTAACCTTTCTATTCTAATGATACTGTCACCCATAGTAATACAGTGTTTCCCAACCACTCAGAATACTAACTCTCAATCTTTTTCAAACACGATTACAAAGAAAGTAAGAGTTTGTTCCTTTGATGAGAAAACTTATGAAGCAGGCTAACAAGGACCTCTGTTATGGCGACCCCAAATGACAAGAACAGACTGGTCAGCATTGCATTCAGGCCCTCTGCATGGACACCTCAGTCTAGCAATGACTTCTTTTTTTATTTATTTTTTTAGCAATGACTTCTATGTTGAGCTGTTAAATGTCTTAAATGGACCAACAAGTCAGTGATAAAACCATTCACTGCCAGAGGCAACCACCTCATTTTATGTCAGCAGCCATGCAAGTTTTTTTGTATTGAGTTCCCAAGGCAATTATGTGGATCCCCACAATTATCCTTGGTTTTAGAGTTATAGAGAATTGCCACTTTATTAAAGGATACATAAGGATTGACAATACATGGAAAAAAACTGAAAATTATTCAAAAGTCTTTGAGTCTTCTTCAATTTGTACCTTCTCAAAATTCTTTTGGCCCTTCGCTTTCTTTTTTAAAATGTTGGTTGATTGATTTGAAATGCAGAGTGACAGAAAGAGAAGAGGAGAGAGAGATAACAGAGCAAAAAAGATCTTCCATCCACTAGTTGACTCCCCAAATGGCCACAATAAACTGGTCTGGGCCAGATCAAAGCCAGAACTCCATCCAAGTCTTTTACATGGGTGTCATGGGCCCAAGTACTTGGGCTAGCCTCTACTCCTTCCCCAGGTGCGTTAGCAGAAAACTGGATTGAAAGCAAGGCAGCTGGGACCCGATCTGGCACTCTGATATGGAAGGCCAGTGGCACAAGTGGAAGCTTAACCTGCTGTTCCACAACACCATCCCCTGGCCCTTCACCTTCCAATGTGGTAGCTGCTATCCTGAGCAAACACCTCATGATGTCAAGAATATATACTTAGAGAGTCTGGGAAAGCTTTTAACCTCATCTAATATTGTCTACTGTCCATGTAGAAGACAGCTGAGGCCAAGAATGAAACGACTTACCTAAGGGAACGTGGCTGACCAGTCCCATTGTATCCCACTATGTGCCCTTTACTAAGACTTTGCACTTGCCAAAATAGAGTACACACATACAAATCCTCATATATCTGTTAACTCCTTTGTTATGGACCAGATCACTCCAGTGAATGCAAATACAGTTGAGTAGCAAAATAAAGAAAGGAGAAGAGAATCTTAGGTACACACAGAGGCCAAGGAGGCTATAAGACAAGATTTTATTTCCCCTATCGTCTGCTCTCCAGCCATGGATTCAGGTTCACTTCTGTGTTACTATGTGGGTGCAAACTGTTGAAATCTTTACTTAATATATGCTAAACTGATCTTCTTTATATAAAGAGAATTGAAAATGAATCTTGATGTGAATGGAAGGGGGGAGGGAGAGGGAAAGGGGAGGGCTGTGGGTGGGAAGGAAGTTATGGGGGGGGGGAAGCCATTGTAATCCATAAGCTGTACTTTGGAAATTTATATTCATTAAATAAAAGTTTTAAAAAAAGGAAAGCAAAGGAGAGGCAATCAAACAGGATGAACATTTTGTGTATGAGAAACTGAAACTGTAAACTCTCCCTCTATGTGACTAATTTTCATCTCTTCTCACCTACTCCAGGATTATACTCCACTGTCACTCATCTCTATTCTACTTCAGCAACGTTTCTCTTTCTAGTTAATCATTCCCAGTGACCAAAGACCCTTCATTTCATTTCATATTTCACACCCCTCTTCAGTTCCTGTGCCATTTGTCTGCCCCCCTCCCTTCACAGGAAAACTCACAAGTATCTATTCCCACAGTCTCCAATTTCCTATTTTCTCCCTTTTCTCTCAGTGTTCAAAATATCCCATAGCTAAATTCATTCCTTTCTCCTCCCCTACTATTTCATAGGTACCATATTGTCCCTAATTTTAAGATTAAGGCTTTTTTTTTTTTTTTTTTGACAGGCAGAGTGGACAGTGAGAGAGAGAGACAGAGAGAAAGGTCTTCCTTTTGCCGTTGGTTCACCCTCCAATGGCCGCCGCGACCGGCGCGCTGCGGCCGGCGCACCGCGCTGATCCGATGGCAGGAGCCAGCAGCCAGGTACTTATCCTGGTCTCCCATGGGGTGCAGGGCCCAAGCACTTGGGCCATCCTCCACTGCACTCCCTGGCCACAGCAGAGGGCTGGCCTGGAAGAGGGGCAACCGGGACAGAATCCGGCGCCCCGACCGGGACTAGAACCCGGTGTGCCGGCGCTGCTAGGCGGAGGATTAGCCTAGTGAGCTGCGGCGCCGGCCCAAGATTAAGGCTTTAAATTAAAAGGCGTCTAAACAGGGATTCCAGCAACATGGCATCCCTGAGCTAAGGAGGACTCTTCCCACTGCAAATACTTAGAATTGCTAACTAACGTGAAACAGTGTATCATGATTCAAGGTAAGAGGGAAGAATCTCCAAGCACCAGAAATTAGAAAGAAAGCTGGAAACCTAGCTGGAAACACACACACACACACACACACTTTCCAGGGATGTCAATAGGCAGAGCTCTACACCCCCAACCCCCATGTTCTCGGAATCTGGCTTTAATCAAGCTTCTGCATCCAGTAAACTGTTTCAACATTACCACTTGGTTGTATAATGGGTATCACAAAATGGACATGCCCAAACTCAGTTCTGAGCTTCCACCCATCAAACTGTTCTCCCCCGAGTTGTTTCCCACCACTAAGGTGTTTGTTGCCAACTCAGTCTTCCACTTGGCCTAGGACAAGAATCAAGTCACTCCTGCCTCCTCTTTATTTCATGCATCCCACCTGCAATGTTCATAAATCCTTTCAGCACCACCAACCTTTTCCGTACCTTTTGCTACCACCCTGGTCCAAGCACAGTCATCACTTAAGTGGTCCCAATCTCTTGTCTTTGGTTCAAGCTATTCTTATAGCAGCAGGAGTGAGTCTAATAAAACGTAAGACATAACATACCCCTCCTCTGCTCGCAAAGCTCCAGCTGCATCCTGTCTCAGAGTCAAATTGTCGTCATCTCTCCCATGAGCCCAGGGTCCTGCCTGATCTATCCCAGCACTTCACTGACCTTGTGTCTCTGCACACTCCTCGTGCTCCATTTAACTCCACCTGTGCCTGCCCCTTGCTGTTTCTCACACACAGCAACTAGATTCCTGTTACGGGCAGGATTCATGACTGAAAATGGTTTACTGCCACTCTCCTTCAGATATTGCACTTGGCAGGTTTCAGCAAAAGGAGAAACTTTCAAAAAGTAAAACATTCAGCCATTTCAGAAGACTTTGGGAGAATCTTTTGAGGAAGTAATTCCCCCAGGGTTTCTGGTGTCACATTGTTTTATCAGAATGCAATATGACACCGGTACTAATATAGTCATAATCTCAAATTTTTCCATGGTTTCCCTGGACTTTAGAACTAATCGTCTTCCCCAGTTCTCCTTTTCTCATTATTCTTTAACAGTCGTAGATAGGAACTTCTGCTTTTCCCTTTCACCTCGCCTTTAGAAAAGTCACACAATCGCATAGTCTTTGGGTGGAGTTTTTAACATGCAGAAGGTTTCAAAGACAAATATTGACTTCTCCATGTAACCGGTACTAGATGGTCAGTCCCTAGAAGTCTCTCTTCTCTGAAGACGATCATCGCCCCATTAGCTTCTCTCTGCAGCTGCCTGTTTCGATTATGACATGTGGCTGAGGGGCTTCATGGCTTGCCTTTTGTTCACAGCAGGTGTTTGCTCAGGACTGAAGGTGACGGTGCCATCACACACAGTCCATGGCATCAGGGGTCAGGCCCTCTACCTACCTGTGCACTACGGCTTCCACACTCCAGCTTCTGACATTCAGATCATTTGGCTGTTCGAGAGACCCCACACGATGCCCAAATACTTGCTGGGCTCTGTGAATAGATCTGTGGTTCCCGACCTGGAATACCAGCACAAGTTCACCATGATGCCACCCAACGCGTCTCTGCTCATCAACCCACTGCAGTTCACGGATGAAGGCAATTACATCGTGAAGGTCAACATCCAGGGAAACGGAACTCTGTCTGCTAGTCAGAAGATACAAGTCACCGTTGATGGTGAGTCCATTTGGCTGTGCGTGGGCAAAGGCTCAGGAGACTAAACCACCTGGGGTTGAGGTCCTAGCTTTGCAACTTTAGGCTAATTTATTCACCCTCCAACCCTTGACATTTCATGGCACTGATGACATTGCTGCATGGGGCTTTCCGAGCACGAAGTAGCATGCATAGAGGGAATACGCACAGGGCCCAGCAAAAGGTAATCAAGCAATGTGTATAACTTATCACTTATTTGTCTGGGAACTAACAAGTATAAAGCTGCTGACTTAATGAGATGGAGAAAATATTACTTTTCTCAGTGGTCAAATGCACCCTGGGAAGTATCCTACTTTTGTCCATGAAAATTTTTATCTTGGTATGTTATGTGGGGGAGGATGAGAGTTACTCAAGGACCACTAAGGACAATAGAAGTTTCTGAAAATGTCCTCTAAGGAAAAGTCAAACCAGCTAATTTTTAGAAACTTATTTTCCTTGCTGAAGTATGTAAGAGATGTACTTTTAAATATACTCTGAGGTGAAGTTTTGATGTTTTTTCTCTAGACCTGTTTATTTGACAGTATTCTCCAGTTTGGTAAATACCAATTTCACGCTATCGATTGCTTTGGCCAATAATTTGCTGTCATCAATGACTCTCTTTTTCTCACATCCCACATCTAGTCCACAAGAAACCTCTGTCAGCTTTACCTGCAAAACACGGAAAGAGTCCAACCATGTCTCCCTGCCCCATCACTGCCCCACTCACCACCACTCCTCTTCAACTCTGCTCTTACTTCCCTGCCAGCATCAGTCTCACCCCTACTGATAGCTAAACAGAGACCCAAACCATGACAATTCCTGTCTCTACCTCCAGCCTGGGAAGAAAGGAAAGAAATTCACTGTTGGTAGTTCTGGAGTTCTTGCAAGAGCAGACCTACATGCCTGAATTACTCCAAAGAAATTATCTAGAACAGACTTTCTAACTTTCCCTTCCTGGTATTGATGGCCTTCATACCATGAGTTGGGCAAAGCTTAAAGGCCACCTCCTAGCAGTGATGAAAGGGAGAGGCAATCAAAGAGGATGAACATTTTGTTTATGAGACACTGAAACTGTAAACTCTCCCTCTATGTGACTAATTTTCATCTCTTCTCACCTACTCCTGGATTCTCCTACTTGGCTGCCTCCCAGTCTCCCGGCCTCCTAAAGCTTCAAATCCATTGCTTCTTTCTCATTTAAAATAAGAGGCACTAACAGTGGCCTGCGAGGCCCAACACACCCAGCACCCATCTGCCCCCATTCTCTCTCTGTGTACTCCTCACTCACTCTGGCCCCCTGGCTCTTCTTGGAAAAGGCCAACCACACTCACATCTCAGGACTTCTGTATTCGATGGAGTCATTCCACCCAACTGGCTTTCCTCCCAGATAATAATATGATCCCTTCCTGTATTTTCTTTAGGTCTCAGTACAAGAATGACTTTATCTTTGAATATTTTCCTGACCACCTGATAGAAAACTAATCTCACTCCCCCAAACACACACCCACCCACCCCTCCACACACACACACAGCATCATTCTCTATTTCCAATTCTGCTTTCCTCTGTTTCATAGCTCTTGTTACTACCTGGACATATTACATGTTACATATTATAATATTTATTATGTATTACAAAGAATGTATGGAAAATATCATTATGAAAACACTAGGCATGTATTTTAAGACATTTATGCACTGAAATCAATCTTTCTTCTAATTCTATTTCTCTTCCAAAACTTTTTGAAAAGCTGCCATATGATTTTGTTGTTTTGTTTCTCTTTCTCAACTAGAACACAGGACCCAAGGGAGCAGGCACTTTGAGGGGTCTGCTGTCTTATCCCCAGGATCTCATCCCTTGCCGATCACAAGTAGACCCAGTCGTCTTACACAGAGTCAGTGAGTGCCAGAGGAGGGAATGCCAGGCTGAGAGCGAGCAAAGACTCAGCATAAGCAATCAAAGGTTAACAGATTAAAGAGGAGACATACCTAAAAGAATTTACATAAACTTTTCCTGTGATGTGTCCTGTCTCAGTGCAAATCTTTGAACAGCACAAGAGTGATCCAGTCTGCTCTCCCAAGCCCAATGACATGCTACCTGTTCATTCCATTCCATATCCATTTCTACACGCAGATTGGAAATATGAGCCTTTTCTGCATAATTGTGTATGATTGGTTTTTCTTTTTGTTGTAATAATATAAACCAAATGCAATTCTAAACTGTTTGTTCTCACCTGTGAAGATAGGGAATTCAATTAAATGGACAAGGAAGTTGACTAAGAGAAATGCTGGGAGGGTTCAAAATGGCTCAGTTCCCCTCAAAGTTGCCTTTCTATCTCCTTCCTCCCTTTTATTTCCTTCTGTCTTCTCTAGGCTGGAGAATTGGGTCTGTGTGTGTCCTGATACACATTTGCCAGTGTAGGAAAATGTACACATGAGACAAGATAAATGTACCTAAAGAAGATCATCAACCCAATTAAAAGCTTGATAGGAAATCAAAGTCTAAGTATCGGAGCGAATTGCCTGTCACTTATGTGTCATTTATTTCTGTGTTTTGTAATCATATACAGAAAGAGATAAGCAAATGTATACCTCTCCAAAATGCCGGAGGGAATCAGTGCCAGATTTAAAGTCTTCTTTCTTATTCTACTGATTGCTGTGTAACTCTGAACAAGTCACTCTTTGTCAATACAGAGATAAGAACTTCAAAGATTGGTGAATATTGCTGAAAATGTTGTGGGTACATAAATAAGTTCTAACTTCTATCCATCAATTTCAGAATGAAAATTTAGAGAGGGAATAATATTTATTCTTGGAAATGGATTCATTTGACAAATATTAAGTGCTGAGTGTGTGTAACACTCATAAAATATAAAGAAAAAAAACCTAAAAACATAAAGTGAAATGATAAAATGCAAAAGGAAAAATATAAAAATAAAATTGTTTTCCTGATGACTTTCCATTCTAATAGGAATTTCCATTATATTTGTCTCATATTTCTAATTTGACACAATCTCTATAATACATTTTATAATACCTTCAGAGGAGCCATTGTTGAAAGGTAAGATTTGGTTTGCTAATGTGACTAATATAATGCTGCAACACGAATGCAAAGAAATTAAAACATGTAACCATTGGCTTACAAAGAATGAAAAGGAAGTTGGCTATCACTTTCCCTCTGTAGTCCAAAAGTATTTGCATATGAGCTCAGTATTTGTGTATAAAAATTGGGATTCACCACATTCACTTACCCCAAGGACCTAGTCTTGGGACAATTAGAGAAAATCAAGAGAGGGAAAAAATAAATTTTCTCTGTGAAGGTTCTCATATACTCTTACGGTGTTGGGGAAAGCACAGTGAACAAGAAATCAGGAAGCTGGAGTTCTCAGTCACTCGTTAGGTATCTACAAGGTACAGGGCTTCACTCCACAATCTTTGAAGAGAACTTTTAGAATTTTTTTATCTCATGATACTTTTGTTTTATCATTTTGCATTTTCATGACTTTTATTCTCTTTCCTAATGATTTCCTGTGCTGCCTCCATTTACAAAGTGTAAAATGCCAGAATTTAATATTTGAAAAACACGAGTTTTATTGTGACCCAGAGGGTGGAAAAAAATCATTTTCCCTCTCTTGATATTGCAGATCTCATCACCAAGCCAGTGGTGCAGATTCACCCTTCCTCTGGGGCCGTGGAGTATGTGGGCAACGTGACCTTGACATGCCAGGTGGCAGCTGGCACTCGCCTGGCTTACCACTGGCTGAAAAATGGGAAGCCCGTGCGCACCAGCGCCACCTACTCCTTTTCTCTCCAAAACAACACCTTTCATATTGCTCCAGTGACCAAGGAAGACATCGGGAATTACAGTTGCCTGGTGGAGAATCCCGTCAGTGAGATGGAAAGTGACATCGTTACACCAACCATATACTGTAAGTTCTTTTAAAAACTACTTGAGTTTTTCCAGAAGAAATTCTTCTCACAGGGGTAGTCACAGAGAACATCGGCACTGGACATCGCTTGGGTAGTGCAGTTCAGTGCCTGGCACAACTCAGTCTTTGAAGATCGAGGTGAGATATTGACCCAGGGCCATTCAAGACACAATTTGTGATTTCAGCCAATTGAGTGACCTCATGTCCACCAGAAAGCAGGAATCTCGATTGTAAGAGCCTAGAACAATGCAGATGCAGTAACTTTCTTATGTCTGAGGAGCAAGAGTTGGTGGCAGTAAACCAGGAGAGGAATGTGCCCTGTGGCTCACTGTTCCCGGGTTAGGCACAGGCAGGGTGTCTAAGGATCTGGCTGTTCCCTCTGCCCATCTTCTCAGCATCAACTTTTAAAATTAATTCCTTTATCGTAAACAACAGATAACAATTACACGTATTTATGGAATACAGAGTGACAATTGAGTGTATGTATACATTTGTAATGAACACTCAGCATTACCCATCATCTCAAACATTTAGCATTTCTTTGTGATGAGAAGATGCAAATTCTTCTCTTCTAGCTCTTTTGATTTATATGATACAATATGATAAGCAATAATCACCCTCCTGTGCAATCATGTGTCAGAACTCATTCCTCCTGCCTGGCTGTCAGGGCAGACCAGTCAGAACAAAGTTTATTAGTCTGCAGTAAGGTATTCAGGTTCCCAGGGAATCAGCAATTATTTCTGGATTTTGATTTTCTTTGGTTTATTTTCCTGTTGTTGGTAAACTTTGTGTTTAGCTATGGTGAACAAACTCTTCAGTTCCTGTCCTATCAGCATCACTAACGCAGCGAAGGGACCTCTTTCCTCATTGCACCATTGTTCCCAATCCTCTCTATTCTAAAACACTACCCCTATTTGATATTGCATTCTAATTGCAGCTTAGCACGATGTCTCCTCTGCACTGGAGACAACTCTTTGTTGTGGGGGCTCTTTTGTGCATTGTAACATGCTTAAGAGCATCCTTGGCCTCTCCCCGTATGTAATCCAGTAGCACATCCCTCCAGCTGTAACAATTAAAAGTGTCTGTGAACATTGTCATAGGCTCCCTGTGGGCCAGAACTCAGAGAACCAATGGCTATCACACTGGGAAGTCTTATCTGTTATCATGTTGCCTACAGCACAACTGCACTAGCAGATTAACAAGAAAAGTGGCAAAGAAAATCTCACTGCTGTGACATGAAGGTGGGCAGCGTAACTGTGGAATCATAAGGGGAGAATGAAGCCTGCTTCCTGTAAGCACTCATTCATCAGTGAATCTCATAACACGAAAGGAGGCACAAACCATAGCATTTTGAATGTTATAAGTCAGATAGACCAAAGTGGACAGCATGTTTGGTCATTTCTGGTGTGACTTTAGTTGAATCCCTTGATCTTTCTGGGCCACATCTGTGCAATGGAGATAGTGAAAACCACCTCACCACACTTCTGTGGCGAACCAAGCACTGTGTGACAAATAGCCAGTGACTGGCACAAATCGGATGCTAGGTAAATCCAGGTGGCTTAGTCAGAAATACATCTGTATGGGAAAAAAGAATTACCAGCAAATGTGCAAATGTAGCCTTTCCTGACTAGAGAAAGCTCCAGGAAGAAACAGCACCAGCAAGGGAACAAGAAGAGGCCAGGGAGGGGACACACATACACAGGGAGGCTTTGCTTTGGATCTGCAAAACTAAGCTATGGAAAATATAATTGTGAAAACTTGAACATGGACATTTTTTTTTATTTTAGTAGAACAGAGAAAATAAAATGCATGACATAGAATGCCATCTATGCCACAGAGATGTAAATAAAGAAACATAGTGGACAGTGCCAGTTCATATCCTGGCTCCTCCACTTCCCATCCAGTTCCCTGCTAATATGCTGGGAAAAGCAGAGGAAGATGACGTAAGTGTTTGGGTCCATGCACCCACAGGAGAGACCCAGATGGAGTCCCAGGATCTAGGCTTTGGCCTGGCTCAGCCCTGACCACTGTGGGCCATTTTGGGAGTGAGCCAGCAGATAGACTCATTCTCATTCTCTCTCTCTCTCTCTCTCTCTCTCTCTCTCTCTCTTTCTCTTTTTCTCTTTCTCTCTCTCTCTCTCTCTCTCTCTCTCTCTCTCATTGTAACTCTACCTTTCAAATAAATAACGTACATCAAAGAAGTACCAGCAGCAGCATAGTGAGTAGGAATGAAAATTATGGAGGGAGAAGGCTTAGGTGCAAATCCTGGGTCTGCTACCTTTCTCTCTCCCTGCTTCAGCTCCTTATTCCATACATTGGTGATAATGTTAACCTACTTCATAGAATTATTATGAGGATTAAATCTGTCATTCTATGTAGAGTGCTTAGAGTAGTAATTGATCCATAGTAAGTTCCCCTAAGAAAGTTAACCATTATTATCTCTATAATATTATTACCCTAGGGGAATTCAGAGCATGGAAACATTCCTTCTGCCTGTGGAAAAAAAATTCTTGTAGAAAGCAGCATTTGGGGTGGACTTTGAACAATGCTTGGGGCAAGTGACAATATCTGAGAAAACCATTTCAGGCAATGAGGACAGCAGGAGCTCAGGCACCAAGCAGAGGGACGTGTTTGACAAACGGGCCAATGTGGCAAGAGTACAGGATATATGAAAGTGTGTGGGGGAACTGATGGTCGGATAGATAAATCTGAGTCCAACTATGAGGAGCTCTAAATTCTAGGACTTATTACCAGTTTAAAAAAATTATAAAAGAGAGTAGATACAAAAAATGACTAGAAGACAGTTTATATTTTCATACACATTTCTTAGAGTAAACTAAGGGATATTTGTCAAGAAAGCATGTTTTCAACATATATCAAACTTTGCACAATTATATAAATGGTATGTGTAATAAAGGAAAAAAAAGAGGCACAGAGTGAATTTCATGAACCTAATTAAGGAGAAAAGTCACAAAATTTGAGCTATATTAAATATAACTAAGAGCAATTTGTAAGTATTTTTTCTGAAAAGTATTGTTCAAACAATGCAGTTAAAAAATGGGCAAAGGATATGAACAGGCATCTTAAAAGGACAAAATATAAATGGCCAAGAAACACATAGACACATGAAAAAAATGCTCAGGATCACTAGCCATCAGGGAAATGCAAATCAAAACCACAATGAGGTTTAACCTCACCCAAGTTAGAATGGCTATCATCCAAAAATCAAAAACTAATAAATGTTGGTGAGGATGTGGAGGAGAGGGTACCCTAATACACTGTTGTAAACTAGTCCAACCATTAGGGATGATAGTATGGAGATTCCTCAGAAACCTGAATATAGACCTACCATATGAACCAGCCATCCCACTCCAGGGAATATACCCAAATGAAATGAAGTCAGCAAATAAAACAGTTATTTGTACCCACATGTTTATAGCAGTTCAATTCATAATAGCTAAGATATAGAATAAATCCAGATGTAGATTAACTAATGACTGGATAAAGAAAATTTGGCATATGGGCTGGCACCTTGGTGAAGTAGGTTAAGCCTCCACCTGTGGTGCTGGCATTCCATATGGGCACCAGTACAAGTCCTGGCTGCTTCACTCCCAATCCAGCTTCCTGCTAATGGCCTGGGAAAGCAATGGAAGATAGCCCATGTGCTTGGGCCCCTGTGCCCATGTTGGAGACCTGAAAGAAGCTCCTTGATCCTGGTTTAGGACTGGCCCAACTCCAGCCATTGTAGCCATTTGAGGGAGTGAAGCAGCAGATAGACGATCTCTCTCTCTCTCTCTCTCTCTCTCTCTCTCTCTCCTCTCAAATAAATAAATAAGTCATTTTTTTTTTTGACAGGCAGAGTTAGACAATGAGAGAGAGAGACAGAGAGAAAGGTCTTCCTTCCGTTGGTTCACCTCCCAGATGGTCGCTACAGCCGATGCACTGCGCCGATCCAAAGCCAGGAGCCAGGTGCTTCCTCCTGGTCTCCCATGGGAGTGCAGGGCCCAAGCATTTGGGCCATCCTCCACTGCCTTCTCAGGCCACAGCAGAGAGTTGGACTGGAAGAGAAGCAACCGGGACAGAATCGGTGCCCCAACCGGGACTAGAACCCGGAGTGCCAGCGCTGCAGGCGGAGGATTAGCCTAGTGAGCCGCAGCACCAGCCAAATAAAGAAGTCTTAAAAAACAAAAAAAAAAAGAAATGTGGCAAATATACACAATGGAATACTACTCAGCAGTAAATAAGAATTAAATCCTTTTGCAACAAAATAGAAGCAACTGGAGACCACAATGTTTAGTAAAACAAGCCAGTACCAAAAAGAAAAATATCATAGATTTTCTCTGATATGTGGCACTTAGTATATTATACAAAAGAAGAATGAAACCAATATCTTATGATTTGATTATAGTTTTTAGCTCTTGTCTATACTCCTGTGGAATAGTGGTCTTTCAACATTTTACTTATTGAACAGTATGCTTAATGATGCGTTAAGCCTGTGATTATAAAATAAATTGAAATTATGTTGCTGTAAAAATTAAAGGAAAAAGAAAGGAAGGTAGGATGGAGGGAGGAAGGGAGGGACGTATGGTTATCTTTAAGAATTGTGTCTTTAACATCTGTTCTCTGTATATTAGTACAAAACTTAAAATTAACATAAATTTTAAAACTTTATACTTTGATTTTGTTATACAATCTTGATAAAGAACCAAAAAATTGTAACTATTAATCCAACCTAGTTCACATTCAGTCTTAAATATGAACTGATCAATTCACTTAAAATATGAACTGATCCTTTCACTTAAAATAGAAGAAATTACATTAAAGAGTGCCAAAGAAGGAAACCAGTTTTTCACCAATGCCAAAACATCTCACACAGTAAACAAATTATATGAGTATATGAACAGCTTCTAGAAAGTTCATGGAAAATATGAATTATGGAAACCATGCATGGATTTCAAATGTTTTGCATCAAAACAATTATTTAATTATATTTCCATGAA